CCAGGCAAAGAAACATCAAGGAAAGAAAACTACAGACCAATATATCCCTGAGAACATAGATGCAAAAATCCTTCATAAGATATTAGCAAACTGCATTCAAAAACACATTAAAAATAATATACTATGATCAAATGGGCCTCATTCTGGGGATGCAAGGTTGGTTCAACATACACAAATCAATAAATTCAATTCAGCACTTAAATAATATTAAGAACAAGAATCATATGATCATCTGAATAGAGGCAGAAAAGCCTTTGATAAAATCCAGCTCCCATTCATGTTAAAAACACTGGAGAAACTAGGGATACCAGAAATTTACCTTAACATTACAAAGGCAATAGATAATAAACCAAAAGCCAATATCATACTGAATGGAGAAAATCTGAAAGTATCTCCTCCTTAATCAGGAACAAGACCAGGATATCCACCACTTCTATTCAATATAGTTCTCAAAACTCTAGCTAGAGCAATTAGGCAAGAAAAGGAAATTAAAGGGATACCAATAGGAAAAGAAGTCAAACTGTCCCTTTTTGCTAATGACATGACCCTATATCTAGAAGACTAAAAATACTCCACAAAAAGACATCAAGAGCTGATAAAAGAATTCATCARACAGAGGATACAAGATCAATGCTTACAAATCAATAGCTTTCCTATACTTCAACAGAGATTATCCTGAAAAAGAAATTAGGAAAACCATCCTTTTTACAATAACCTTAAAAAAAATTTGCAAACTAATCAAGAAGGTGAAATATCTCTACAATGAAGATTATAGAACACTGAAGAAAGAAACTGAAGATCTTAGAAGATGGAAAGACAACCCATGTTCTTGGACAGAATAAATATAGTCAAAATGGCCATACTACCAAAAGTAATATACAGATTCAATTCAGTCCTCATGAAAATACCAATTATATTCTTCACAGAACTAGAAAAAATTCAATTGGAGGAATAAGAGATCCAGAATAAACAAATTTTCAGCAAGAAGAATGATACAGGATGCATCACAATACCTGATCTCAAATTATACTACAGAGCTACAGAACAAAAGCTGTATGTACTGGCATCTAAATAGACATGAATACCGATGGAACAGAGATAAAACCCATACTTAAAGTCACATGATACTTGACAAAAGTACCCAAAATATATACTGATGAAAAGATAGCCTTTTAAACAAATGCTTCTGTGAAAACAGGATATCCATATGTAGAAGAATGAAATTAAATCCCTCTCACCCTGCACAAAAGTCAAATCAAGATGGATCAAAGACTTAGGAATTAAACAAGAAACTTTGCAACTTCTACAAGAAAACACAGGGTCCATACTCTATCCCATTTGTGCAGGCACTGACTTCCTCAACAAGATCCCTAAAGTTTAAGAAGTAAAATCAAGAATCATAAGTGGGATGCCGTCAAATTAAAAAGTTTCTACACAGCAAAGGAAATGATTAAGAGTGTGAAGAAAGCGAATTAAGAATGGGAGGAAATCTTTGTCAGCTGCTCTTCTAACAGGGTATTATCCAGAATATCCAGAATCTATAAAGAACTCAAAAAAAAAAAAACTTAACATCAAAAAACAACGTAAACAATACATGGGCAAAAGAAAGACGGACATTTCACAAAAGAACACAAAGGCCCTATAAATAAATGAACAAATGTTCAACATCCCAAGCAATCATGGAAATACAAACTAAAGCACTAAGATTTTATCTCACTCCAGTCAAAATGGCAATTATCAAGAACATAAGTCATAATAAATGATGGTGAGGATTAAAAGGGACATTCATATATTTTTGTTGGGACTGCAAATTAGTACAACCACTCTGGAAAGCAGTATGGAGATTCCTCAAAACACTAGGAATGGGACCACCAACTGACTGAGCTATCCAAAAGAACTAAAATCGGCATACTATAATGATACAGACACATAAATGTTTACAGCAGCACAATCCACAGTAGCCAAATTACAGCATCACTCCAGATGTCCATCGGTAGATTAATGTATCAAGAAAATGTTATATATAAACACAATGGAGTTTTACTCAGCCAGAAAGAATAAAATTGTGGCATGTACTGGTAAATGGATGGAAACGGAGAATATGCTAAATGAAATAAGCCAGACTCAGAAAATCAAGGATTCAATGTTTTCTCTCATTCATGGAACCTAGAGCAAAATAAAGGAAAGAAGACAAAGAGTGGGGAAATCAGATGTCACAATGATATAGGGAAGACCGGTGAAGTAGAAAAGATCAAAAGTGAGGGAGGAAGGATGGGGAAAGGGGAGAAAATATGGAATGAATTTGAAAAAAAAAATCACGTTACATGCAAATGTGAATATACCACAGGGAATTGCACCTTTATGAATATGTAGAAAGTACCAATTAAGAATAAATAAATGAGCAAAAGGAAGATCTGTAGCAAAAGGAGAGTGGGGAGGTTAGGGAGTCAAAGGGGGAGGGAAATGTGGATTGAAATCAAATGCCACGCATGTATGATTTTTGTCAAAAAGAACCCAACTACTATATACAACTATAGTGCTCTAATTTTAAAAAACTTTTTGAAGTTAACAAGAGCAATTCTGTTTCAGGGAATATACCCCAAAGAATTGAAAGCAGGGATTCAAATAGATATTTATATACCCATGTTCATAGCAGCATTACTCATAATAGTTATCTTGATGCCTCTTCTGTTGCTATAACTGTACCATGGCTTGGGTGATTTCATGCTTCTGGAGGCCTGGAAGCCAAAGAGCATGGCACTACATCTGCTCAGCTTCTGGTGAGGACCTGCTGCTGCATTGTAACATGGTAGAAGGCATCACATGGTGAGAGTGAACAATGTGCTAGCTAGGATCTCTCTTCCTCTTCTTATAAAGCCACTAATCCTATCATGGGAGTTTTTGTTTAATGGGGACAAGGTTTCAGTTTTGCAAGATGAAAAAGCTCTGGAGATAGACAGTGGTGATGGTTACCAGATATTGTGTATGTACTTAATATCTAGGACTTTAAACTTAAAAATGGTTCCAATAGTAAATTTCATATTACATATGTATTGTATCATTAAAAAAAAAGAGCAAAGAGGCCTCCATGTTGGAAAGAGAAGACCAGTGGCAGGTCCCTGGGCTTCCATTACTGGTCTTGCAAAAGAGCCTCTCATGTAAGGAGATGTGTGGGTCCATCAAACAGCCCAACACAAAGGCTGCCCTCAAAGCCCTGCTGAAAGAACCTCTGTTTTAGAGCACAGCAAGTCTGAGCAGCATGAACAAGACAGAGGGAGCTTCCCACAGGCAGAGAAGTCAGCCTGGTAAGTCAGTCTGACAAAACAGGGGCTCATTCCCTCCACCAGCAGGGTCACCGTGGGGCTCCTCGGGACTATGGTCATCAACATGCATTTCCTTGTGCAGTTAGGGAAGAGGCTTGAGCCAATGGTCATGGTCCTGCCAATGACATCCTGTGTGACCTGGTAGTGTCCACAGTCTTGGGCCTTTTTCAGCCTCTGGGAAATGGCCTGTGGGGGTCCCCTCCCCACAAGATGAGACTCAGTCCTGGTGTCCTCTGTGCAAGCCACAGCACGCCACTCAGCCTTCCAGTCACCACAGCCCCAGCTAGATGATGGCCAGGACTAGACTGTGGTAGGAAAAGAACGCTCATGCAGCTTTTCTCCTATCTCCTACCCACAGCCTCACCCAATCCACCTTTAGAACCCCAGAGGACCCTTAGAGCAATACCCCAACATGGACAAAGTGCTGCCACATGCAGACCTTGGATAGCCCAAGCTACTCTGAGGCCCCTCTCTAAGTCTGTCACAATCAACTTCTTTCCCAGCAGTTGGATCCCTGTATACAGAGCTCGTCGCCCCAGTCATACAAGGGCATCTTCAGCTTGGGTCATTCCACCCAACCTCAATCTGGGCGCTTTGCTTCCAAAACTTTTTGGTGGTCCTACTCCTAAAGGTAAAGGCCCCACCCCTCTGGATGTCTTAGCTACTCCTCCCTCACCATACCCTTTCCACATCCTCATCCCCATCTTTATGACTTCTCCTCTCCCTGCTCCAACCATATCAAACCACCTACCCTCTCCAAATGGTGCCAATATACCTTTACCTCTGGGTCTCCACCTACTATGCCCACTGAGTGACCTCTCCACCCCTGATGTGGCCAGCACGCACTTCCTCTCTAATCAAGGGTTAACTCTTTCACAAAGACCTCCATACTTCAGGACCAGCACTAGCCAGCCCCCCACCTGGGTGCCAGTGGTCCCTGCAGATATTTCTATGGCAGCACAGATGTTTTACTTGCTAAGCTACTGTCTTCCAAGGGAAAGGCCTTTTGTGCATTTGTATCCCTGGTACCTAACACCATGACAAAGATTTTAGAAGGTCTTCAAAAACACTTTCTGGGCAAATGGATCAACAGGTGGAAGGTGAATGCCTTCAAAGAGCCTTCAGTGCTAATATTTTGGGAGGCAGCCCCTCCCCTCACCTACCCATCATGTAAAGAAGATTTCTCTCTATCCCCATCCAACAAACTGGTTCAGACACAAGCTCTATGACTCCTTTTTGGCACCCTCAATTAAATGACCTCTCTCCTCTCTTCCTATAGGCTCATGCAGCACAAAGAAAGTTAAAGTTTGATTTTGATTTCTTGCACTGGATTGTATATTTAGAGCATGGGCTGGGACTTGATTCTGAATGTCTCTGGAACAGGGTCTTACACAGAGTAAGGGTCTTGGGAAGCCTTCTGGTGACCAGAGGTGCAATCACTGAGTAGATTCAGACACTTAAATACCTCAGGGGTAGGAGAGGTGGGCTGACGCTCTCCCTCAGGATGCCCACCGCTCTGCCTTCTGAGATGCCCAGAGACCAAAAGGCAACAGGCTCCAACCCCCAAGCCAGATGCTTCTTCACCCAAGGCGGGCGAGGATGCTACACCTACTCCCAGGGCACTACTCAAGGAGAAAACAGAGCCCACAGGTATGAGGGCCCCAACTCCAGACTCACCATGTTCATGACAGTGAGGATGAACCTCTGGGCAGCCTCTGCCCCGTGGTACTGCACCATGTCAGCATCAGCCACCACCAGGGTCTCCACCGTGTGCTCGTTGGTAAGTCGTATAGCGTTCCTCCGCTCCCGCCAGTCCCGAGACAGCCTGCCCTTTCTGGGCTTCTTCTTTTCTAGAAAATGGAGACATTTGTGCAGTCCTTGGTTTACTGATTTCTAAAATCCTACAATGAAAAGGTCTTCCATGGAGCTTCCCCAAGAGAACAGTCAGTCTCCACTGGCCACTGATGGGACCAACAGCCACAGACCTCTGTGGTCACATGGGTGAACCTGAGTACACCAGCTAAGGGTGGCACTGACTGAGCAGAAAGGAAAGAGACAGGGAGGCCAGACATCCAATGGGGCTTATCCTGTCCACTCTTGCAGCCACAGAAGTGCATGGGGCTGAAAGTCAGAAGGGACCCATCCCCTTCAGAGGAACATGGAGAGCATGCAGTGTTCAGAGGAAAAGGAAGCCTGGACCCAGCAAGGGAGGATCCCAGAGTGCTCATGTCAACCACACAGAACTGGGGAAAGCATCTGAAAGGTAACCCCTACCCCGGATATCTTAAAACTGGAACCAAGGAAGCAGGGGCTGAGGGTGATATATTATCCACTAAAGAGCGCACTTCTGACTGCTCAAGGCTGCTGGGTAAGGACTGTAATTGTACATGGAAACACCTTTGGCCAAAATGACAAGTTGATACAAATAAAACACATTTAAGGAGACAAATGTGAATGGGAGGACAGGTCTTCAAATTGATAGTCTTCATTTCCTTTTTGACATAAGACTACACGGCTGCACCTCTGCTACATTGTACGTGAAGAAAGACAGTCTAAATGTACACCCACAGGCTTCATAGTAACCCAACCACTCTAGAAGCAAAAATGGATACCATAAAATAATCTGAGCTATGGAACATAATTTACAAGTAAGTATGCGCTGTTCAATGTAATTTTCAGCCATGAAACAGTAGAAAGTAATCAAAATACCCAACCATACAGAAAGCTGGCACTGATAAGATATATGACCATGAAAATCATGTCTGTGAAGATTTAGTTATATAAAGAGATATAAAGAGTCATAGATATAAATCCATATTTGCAGTGAGAGCTCAATTTTGCAAAAAACACAATATGCGTAAGTATTTCCAGGCCTGAGAGAGAAATTAAAAAACACAAAAGAGTTCTCTGCTTTCTTCCTCTCTGCTCTCTGCCCTCCTCCTCTTCTCTCTCTGCCCTCTGCTTCTCCTTTCCTCTCCCTTCAGGAAGCCCCCAATAAAATCTCTTGGCTGAATAAAAAAAAATAAAAACACCAAAGAAGAACTAAAATGTTAATTTTACTGTGTAGACTTCAGTTTCCCTTTTTTTCCTCTATATATTATAAATTTATATAATAAACAAGAAGTACTTCATTTAAAGAAATACCATTGAATTTGAGAAAAACATAGAAGTCACTTTTAAACTCTAAACAATAAAATAAAGCATGGAGGATCAAATTATGTCATCTGACCTATCATAAAATTACAAATTAAAGAGGTGAATGTGAATGCCTTGCCAAACCTGCATAATGGTTCCCTTCTCAGAGCCCCTAAGCCAGGCCCACATCCCATCAAGCCCCTGATCCTCTGATGTGGAATGAGGGTCAATTCTTAGATGAGAGGCGAGATCTTAGATAGCATTTCCTTGCATATGGGCAGAATGGAAGAGGCCCAAATTGAAAACCTATCAGTCTATACCCCCATTCTCCAGATTATCACTGAACACTAGGAAGTCAAAACACAGGTGATGCTCGAATTCTGGTCTCTGTGTACTTACCAGGCACAGATCCTGGGATCTGGCCAACCTATCCAATTGGGAATTTGTGAAGTGTCCCCTTGTCTTCACTTGAAAGCAGCAGAGGCAATAGGCCCCTCAAGCAAGATCTTTGTTGTAACCAGCAAACCCACATTCTCCCAAAGGACCACCACAACCCAAATGGCATTCACAGAGCAGTTCAAGGTCAGTATTTACAACTCATCTCTTAATATTACCAACTCATATTCCCATCTGCAGATGTTCCCCTAATAGCAGCTCAGTGTGTATTCCCACACCTTGTCATGAATTTCCAGACTTTGGTACAGAAAGAGCTACAGTTTTAGCACGGCCTTAAGATGCAGCAATATACTGCTCTAGGAGACAGCAAGCAAGAACACAGGAGAGCTGCATGCTCTCTAAGAAAAATAGCTCCTCACTCCCAGACCACAGGAGCAGGTGGCTCCTAAATGATTCACATTCAAAATCCTGCACTGGGTGTCAGATTTTCAAGACCACAAAGTAGGATTAACAAGACCTGTTTCTCCTGCCCTAACAGACCTAGGAGAACTAATATAATAGGGTGTCACAGGGTTAAAAGCTGTGAGTTAACCTAGGCTCTGACCATATCAGGTGAGTACTGAACAGCAGAATATTAAACAGCAGGTTAACCTAAGCCCTGGGTGCTGAATAGCAGATGAATACTGAATAGCAGAGTACTAAGTAGCAGGTTAACCTAGACCAAGTTCAGAGTAGCAGGTGAAACACAGTGGTATGGTCTCTGTGGCTTTGAAGGGTTTTCACTATGACATACTTGCTTCTGTTGTTGCCCTCAGTCCCTGGCACCATGCTTGGTCAGAAATACTCACTGAACAAATGAATACGTATAGTAAAATGAATAAAAGGAAATAAATAAATATGTTCACTTAGCAATAGTCTCACATTAGTGCTGGTCAGGTCTTGCCACAAAACAAGTATTTAAAATCCTGTATTTTGTTTTCAGTCTTTTTATTTTTCTTCAAATTTCCTTTTGGCTGTAGGGGTTTTGTTAACAGTGCTAGGGAATGAACCCAGGGCCTTGTGCATGCAAGGCAAGTACTCTACCACTGAGCTACACCCAAAACCCTTTTTAAATTTTGAAAGAGCATCTCATTAAGTTACTCAGGCTGGTCTCAAACTAGTGATGCTCTTGTCTCAGGCTCCCCGACAGCTGGAATTACAGGTGTGCTCCACCATCTTAGCTAATTTTTTTTTAGTTCTTTTTAATTGACACATGGTATTTGTACATATTTAAGAGGTACAATGTCATAATTTGCTACATGCATGTAATGTACAATGATCAAATTAAAACAACTATCATTTCTCCTCAAACATCTTTCATTTCTGTTTTAGGAAACTTTGGACTCTTTTTTCCTAGTTATTTTTGAAATAGATCCTTAATTGTTCTAGACTACTGCTGCCCTACTGTACTACAAAATGTCAGAACTAATTCCTTCTATTTTAGTACCTATTATGCAACCTGGCTCCCTCCTCTCTCCCCAATCCCCTTCTCAGTCTCTAGTGACCACCATTCCACAAAACCTCTGGATTTTGTTGAGTGGGAACAGGAGATCATGGACCTGAGTCCTATTTCCATGCAGCTGTCTTTCTCAGGGGTGGTGATGGGCAGGAACAGAGGGGACTGGAAGGTAGAGGGAACCTCACCCTTCTCCCCTCTCTCTGCTCCCACCAACCCCTTCACCAGTAGAGCTTCCTGAACATTGCCACCCACAACCATATCACTCCCTTCTCTACAGGGAGAAATACACCTCCCCCTTTAACTCCTGAACTTCATAAACATGCCCTCATAGACAAATTCATAGATGCCAACATTAGCAGATTATAGTCATCTTGAAAAATAAGAACAAAACACCAACTTCAGGATCACCCAGGTGCTGAATTCCACCTGGGTGCAGGCAGGTGGGTGTGTGGCTGGCTGGGAAGTTCTCCAAGCTCTGGACCTCCTCAGCCATCTCCAGCTATGGGACCCTCACTCTGAAAATAACGAGAGATCCTAGCCAGGCCCTCTCCTGTTGCGACAAACACCAGAGGTCCCTCCTGAAGTCAAGCCTCACAGTCTCTCTTGCCAGCACACCACTGGAGTTGGGATCATTCCATGTTCTTATAGAAGAAACCCCAGATCTTTTTGGAACAAGAGAAAAAGAAAAGGAAGATGTAAAGGACATTCTCCACATACTTTCAAAATATTCAAATTGTGATTTATTCTAAAACTCGGGGACTACCCAAAAAAAAAAAAATACTGAGCAAATATATGTTTGTACTTACTAATTTGGCAAACTAAAAAAAAAACTCAATTATGAATTATCAAACTCTATATAGAATATATATACACTCTTTTAGTTTAGAAACAATACAGAATTGGGCTGGAGACATGGGGGTATAAGCTAAGTGGTAGAGCACCTGCCTAGCATGCCTGAGGCCTTGGGTTCCAACCCCTGAACTATAATTTAAAAAAAATAAACAGCATTCAGGTATTTCCTAGGGAAAAACACATGGAATACAAAATATTTGGTGTGAAACTCCTTCCTAAATTCCTTTACTTCTTGGTACACAAGATTCTTATGTCCCTGATTCCACCAATGCCACTTCCAAGGACAGGCTCAAGGTATTCTCAGTGCCAAGCAAGGCACAAGAAAAATATGCCTCCCTCCATTGTAGAACCAAACTATAACACATGGAAAACAAGCAGCATGGAGGAAATGGCAGGTACCCAAGGGCACTGGGCATCTCAAGTGGATAGGCAAAGGGCACCTCAGTACAAGATCATAAAGATCAATGTCACCAGTAGGTGTGGGAAGCCATTCTCGCAAGTGATTGGGCACCTCCCTGACTGGCTGTGAGGCGCTCCGGCTAAACTGTGTCAGAACCAATCCCCACCCTTTCTAGGTGCGAGAGCCCATCCGTGTGGGGGTGTGACTGACCATTGACCCTGAGACCAATCACTGACCCTGACCTTGGAATGCTGTCCCCCTCAACCTTCGTTGGATGGAATGTTCCCCTGAATTTCTTTTTCCCCAATAAAAGGCCATCCTCTGGCGTGCCCTGCCTCTCTCTCTCCTGCTAGTCTTGTGTAAACCTCGCTGCCCCACCGGGTAGCTCGAGGACCGGGTAGCTCGAGGCAGGAGCCAGAGCCGTCTCAGACATGGTCAAAGAAAAAGGTAAATTGAGTTTATGTGTGTTTATTTTGATCTCACTAGTTAACTTCTATTCTTAGAACCTCTAGTATGAAGCTAGCGTGCTGGTAGCATGGCTGAAGTAGGAACTAGACACATGCATCCAA